GTCACTGTGCTTCTCACATTGCCCCTAACTCAAACATACATAGTTATAAATAGTGGCTTGATAAAATATGAATGAACAATAACAAATGGGCAGTGCTTGCTGCTTTTATAAAAACGAGGGAAGAGCAGGGAATAGAAAGCAGAAACAGCCAATTGCTGTGTCCGACATGCCATTAAGTGCTTGTTATGGAACTTTGTATGTGCACATTGGCTGCACATGGTCTGGCTTCACGGGTACAATTAGCACCACGCTTGTGCTGAGAGAAAGAGAAGATAACTGGAGTGCCACGCTGAAAAACTGACCTAGCTTACAGTTTAACACCCACGGGCCAAAGGCCTCTGGCTTTTGTTGCCAACATGCTTGCAGCTCTCCTCTCACTGAGCCAGTTAGTGTGCCCCCTGGTCATAACCTGCACAGTTAACATGCTGTAAATGTTTCCATAGTGTAGTTTGCTCACATGTTGTCTGCACATGGTATTTTCCACACTTTAATTTCAAAGGCTTTACTAAGTCACATGCAAAATTAACTCACAATCATTTGAGATCTGTGTGACTTTGTGTGCAACAGAGGAGATCTCTTCATGTGTGTCTTAGCATGTCTCTGCAAGATCACGACACGTGCGCAGCTAATGTGTTGGTGTGTAAAGCCACCTGTGGCGCTGTGTCTTCACTGACAGGTGGCTGTGGCTTTTGCCTGTCTATAATTCAATTACTTAAGAATCTGCTCTGTGAAAACACACACAGTAGCAGTCTTGTTTCTAACTAGGCATTGTTTTTGCATGAGAAGAATCCTAATTAAATCTACAGGGTATTCCTCAGATAGTCATTTATTCTACAGGGAAAAGGGATGACCTCAACCTGTTCCTCTTTAAAGTGTTCTCATTTTCAGCCATTTCATTTTATTAAGGATGTTAGTAGACATGTAGAATAGATTACTGGTGACCCAAATTACATCACGTCCTGTTTGGTGTGAGTCTTGCAGTCCCTGGGTACGTATCTCTAATTAATAGCTCTGTGTACTCAGCCGTGACACACATATGATGTCCATGTGTATTGTGTTGTTTCACAGCACTGCTCTTGCAATTGCAGTCTTCAACATGCAGCGTTCATCCTTTATTTTCCTTATTTAAAAATTTCCATTCCCTTTCTCTTAAAAAAAAAAAATTATATACTGTTTGTCAGTCAAGCATGTTGTAACCTTAGTCATAAAATCCCACTAATTGGGATGTCATTATCTATCTATCTAGCTACCACTCTTGGACTGCACACACAGTGTCACTAGCACACTCCAAGCACACTGTCCCAGAAAAGTTTTTTTGCTCTACTTGTTTGCTCATGGATTCTCTCACGGGGTGCGAAGGGATAAAAAGATGGAGAATAGCCAGTGGAGGAGGAAAGCTGCCCTTGACCCTATTCTGCAGCTAGTAGAGAAGGACTGACAGAATAGGCTAAATGTGGATGCGCTCCATGCAACAGCAAACTGTGGAAAGGTCAGCGGCAGCGGGCCTCATGAAGGAAAACCCACCCACAGGAAGGCTAGATCAGATGGCGCGACAGGTTTGCTTGCCCCGTAGGCCCTTTGTACTTTAGCCTTTGTTAGTTTACCAACATATTATGAAGAAAGTAACCACAGTGTCATTGTTAGCTGGGCTATGATAAATGACACCCTAGTGGTTTTATTACTCTTTGACCTGTTTATCAGATGGAAGCAGATAGTTCTTTTGCTTTTGATATTAAAAGCAGTGATAGGTTTCTATCTGCTGCTCCACATCTGTTGTGATTGTCTCAACAGCTTCTGTTCTGACGTTAAGTGACAGTCTTGCAATAAGAGCACCTTGACTAGTGGATGAATGGACGGCCTTGTCTTAAAGCTCCTGGCCTGGATCCCTCACATGAGTGAAAACAAGAATTTGAAGCAGGCAAAGGGCAGAATGACAGAGACAAATGAAAGTGAAAAACAGTGCGGTTATTACATCCCCTTGTGTAATTACACAGTCTGCTGTAGCAGTCCCATGGTACAGCTTTTTTTTTTCTTGTCCGTGTAGAAATTTTTAGTTTTAGGACCCTATTTTACTCACAAAGTCAGACATAGAAAGCAGCATTTGTTCTATTTTTAAAGTGAAACCGTAGAAAGGAAGAGCTGTTGGTAAGTCCTGCATAAACACTTCCATATAACAATAAACCCTTTGAACCTGTGTTTTGGTTACCTTTATGTATCAGAGAAAGGTTGCTCTTGCATTGTACTTGGGGTGTGTGTGCACAAATGCAGCCTTGTCTCCAACTTCGCCAACAAGACAGTGTCAAGGCTTTGAGGCATGAACCTGTCCTTCTAGGAGCACAGGGCGAGACTGGTACACAGGGGTGTGATGGTTATCCGTGTCTAAAGGCAAGCTGTAGCTTGTCTGTGTGTGAGTAAGAGTAGAAACGTGTGTCTTTGCCCCACGAGGGTGAAGTAAACACATTGATTTAATGCCTTATTCTTTTACACAACTGATCAAATTTACGCCATTAAAAGAGTTAAGTCATTATTCAAGAAGAAATTTACTGTTACTGTGTCTGTCTACAGGAGGCTGCTGCTGATTTAAGCACTTTTGTTCACTGAAGTACAAGTCTGGCTTATAATTAAGTTCACAAAAAGCACCTTTCTGCATCTGGTGTTATCTACATAACTTTTAGTCATAGTCTTTTAGTAAGCTTTTAAGCAGGACTTGTGTCAAGGCTGTCAGTACACTAAAAAATCTGTCTGAACAACTTGTTTACATACACAAAACCTCCCTGAAAATTCCTCAAATACTGACCTCTGCTTAAATCATAGTACACAGAACTGCTGATGTAAAACAATTATAGCATTTAGATTTGAAGTAGGTTTTTTTCCAAGCTCGGACTGCATTCCATCTGTGCTCAGCCATTTATAGTACACAGTATACAGTGTACATGCTGTGCCCACACCATGACATCGCCCAGCTTTGCCTATGTGGTAGTTTAGTAAGTTTATGCACATTCACATCTGATTATGTCGCTCTAAAACAAGTGTTTTTGCTTGCATGTAATGTGCAAAATACATCTTCTGCATCGTCTATTACAGAACCCAACTGCACAATTACTGCATGCATGTGTGGGAATGCCAGCCACAGAAATAGAGCAAATGAGTGAGACTGTGTCTTATGGATGGCTAAGCTAAACTGGTTTTCATTTCATCTCAGTTAATGGCTTAGATGTTATTTCAGTTAATTCATTAGTTATTCTACTTGTGAAAAGACTTTAGATAATGTACATGTACTGACCTGCTCCTCTTAGTTTAGGCCAAGAATAACCCCACAAAATCTCTGTTTTTCATGCCCCTATTAGCCCATGTCTACAGTGTTAATGTACTAGCTTTGAGAGTTCTCTCCAAAACTCTCAGATAAGCATATAAATTCACATTGCATTAATCAGGATTACTCAGCAGCAGTAGCAGCAGTAGGAAGGTTTGCTTGGCAGATTATCCTGTGTTCCACTAGCCCTCCTAGCTGGTTACATGACTCTGTGTGTATGTGTGTTTGTGTGTGTGTGTGTCTGGATATATATGTGCGCTTTTACTCAGAGATTGACTACCCTTCCGAGCAGACCAAGTGTCTGCCCCGTGAGACGGCGTTTTTAGATTGTTCTAGTTTTATAGAATTGCGTATGTGTGTGGGAGCAGACTCGTGGACACAGACAGGGGCATGCAGAGGAGAAATGGGCTGTAAAACAAGCTGTATTAATGCTTCAGCACCACTTGGCACAGAGAGAGAAAATGCCTGTTGTGCTTGCAGTCACCATCCTGGGAGTAGAGACAGGGTTAGGGCTTTTTAACCTACTTCTGACAGGGATCACTGTTTAGTTAGTTAGTTTGTTAGTTGTTTGTTTGTATTGTTTCTCCTCACTTGGGCATTTTTTTTCTCCTTCTAAAAGCAGGCAGGATATTTGTTGCCTGATGTTAAAAGGGTTTTGCACAAAAGTTGCATACTGTGAGCAGGCACAGCCAGGTTGAAACCTGCATTAGCAATCTTTGTCATTAAGTCTGGCAAATATTTCACATTTTTGTCAATTCTTGCATTATGATGGCTTACTCAAGGGAAACCCTGTCTCGGTGTAGTGCTTGGAAGCCGTGTCATCACTCTGTAGTCTCTTATTACCTTTCTATCTCTCAGAACTCACTGGGGAAAAGTCAGAACAGGCAGAACATTTCTTTCCTCAAGGTAAGAATTTTATCAGCAGTGAGGAAGGAAATGGACAGGAAATGAGAGAGGAAACACAGCAAAGGATGGGTCTTGAAAGAGGGTGTTTGAATTTGGCTGCTCCATGTCTTGTTTTTCCTCCTTTGCAGATGCGCAGTGAGGCCTCGGTTAGGAAAGTTAAAATAAGAGCCCTATTCCACAACCCTCTACTTATTGCTCTTGGCTTTCAGAAGTCTTTTTTTCTTTTCTTTTTTTTGCACAGCTAGTCACATCAAACCTTTTTGTTCAGTCTCTCATTGCGATGTTTTGTTGATGTTGAATGATTTACTTTTCACCCCAAACCGAGACGGTGCATGCATTTTGTAACTAATTCTTTTCCAGGTCCCAATTTATCTTACTTTTGTTTATGCTTATATGGACAGATGTGGTGTGCGTGTTCCTCACCATGCTGTGTATATGTGTGTTTCAGGCTCAGGTTGCGTTTCTTCAGGGTGAGAGGAAAGGGCAGGAGAATATGAAACAGGACCTGGTGAGGCGAATCAAAATGCTGGAGTACGCCCTCAAACAAGAGAGGTAAAACGAATGCCTGGAAAGCCCCCCCTTTCTGTCCTAGTCTCCTTATGTCTGTTACTCTTTCAGTCTGTCCTGGGAGTTTGCATGCTCCAGGCATAATGATTCTTCTAGTGAAAGATGTATTTGTGGAAGCTCAAAACGTTGCCCTCAAGTGTTCCTTTGTTGCATTACAGGGCTAAGCACCAAAAGCTGAAGACAGGAAATGACCAGAGTCCTGGGGACAAGAAACCAGAGACAGAGGCAGATCAACGTATGTTTGACCAAGTCCTTATGTGCTCTGTAACTTGGACCCATTATGTTGTCTGCTTCTGTTACATTTAGATTCCTGTTTAGCGTTGAGCGCAGTTCGAAGTTTCTGCTTCTCTCTTTTTCTTCTTTTCTTCTCATGCCCTGCTGTTGCATCACTATTGAACAATCTATTTTCTGTAGTTCCCAATGGGCCGGCTGAGTCAGATTCAGAGCCAGCCAATCAGATGTCCTGGAAGGAGGGACGTCAGCTACTACGCAAGTAAGGCTTCATCATCATCCGTTCCTTTTTATCTCAGTGCCATATTAATGTGTTCCATCACAACTTCATCGTAGACATTACAATTCTGATCTAGGCTTAAATGATTCATTTATATGACCATGTGTGTATGTGGATGTAGATATCTCGAGGAAGTGGGTTATTCAGACACCATTCTGGACATGCGTTCTAAGCGCGTGCGCTCCCTTCTTGGGCGGAGCAGCCCTGAAGCTAACGGGCCCCCACCCAGTGAAAGCTGTCCTGAGCCTGAGCCACGAGCAGGTGGAGAGTCCTTGTTGGTCAGACAAATAGAGGAACAGATAAAAAGGTGAGACAGTGGAAACACACGCCCCTCTTTGATCTTACACCACAGAAGAGCTCCAATGTGAACATTGATGACAGAGTAAACATTTGTTTTTTGCAGCACAAAAGCCTTTTTCTTTTCTTCTTCTTCTTCTCCTTTTTTAAAATAGATGTACTTGATGTAAAGCTACTCCTTAAAAACTGAACTTTTCACTGCTGCTTGTGAAAGGCTGCAACTTGTAAAAATTTGTGTCTTTCACAGAAAGCATTTACTTGCAGTCTCGTGCCAAACTTTACAGACAAGTGCGATTTTTACATCACTTCATAAACAAACTAGTTCACTAACATGGCAGACTTGCATATGAAGCCATCCCTTAACCTTCCGACAAACACTTCTTACATAAAGTGTATCTGCGTTTGACCTCATATATCAGGATTTGACCTGTCTGAATATTTTCCAGTATGGTAGTAGTTCATGGTATCCTTTTATAAACAGTGGACAATATCCAAATTATAAATCCATTTGCATCTTAAAAATTAATTAAGCGATGGGTTGTTGTATGAGATAACTGTCACTGTATCATGAGACTGCTTAGTGAACAAGATTCGTGTGGAATCTTTCTGCACAAGCAGAAATGTGAAGACGGTGAAACAAAAGCACAGTTTAAACTCCGAAACTGGCAAAATAACACATGACAGAAGAGGTCTAAAAGTGAGGGGATTCCTCATCATGCAAGTCAGGATTTTTAATGAGCACTGGAGGTAAAATTAAGATAGATGTCACTGAATTGTGCAGAGAGGCTCAGAAGTAAATTTTATAGCTAAATGTGGCATGTTTCATTTTTAATTCATGATAAATAGGGAGTTAAAAGGTCTGGGGTTGATTCTAAGTATTAAATTTGCATTTGATAGCTGTTCATGGGACTCTCAACCTTCACTTTGAGTTAAGGAGGCCACCATTCAGCTGAAAATAAACCATACCAAATAGCAGAGATTTTAGCACTAACCAAATCAACAAACTGGTACATTCTTAAGAAAGAATGCAGCATAAAATAGCCCACTGAAAACAACTAAAGTGGGTGATTGCAGAAATATTTCCAGCCAAGTCTGTGGAGAAGGTAGTTTTCAAATCTAGAAACACCACAAAAGGGTTTACCACAAGATGCAAAGCAGTGGGAACACACAAGCACAAAAGAGCAGGCTTTGAACAGAGAAAACCAACAGAAGGAAACAACAGATCAAACGGTCTTCCGTTGAAATACTCTGATGGTGTTGTCCTGAGGCTACTGTGCTACCCATAATTCACAGGTAGCTCACAGCTGTTGCAACTATGGGTTTTGAAATAATTTAAAAACAGTAAAACAATGTAAACAATAAATATATAAATAAGCAGTCCCTCTGTTGATCTTTGAGTGAAACATGTGGTCAAGATACTCAGCTGTGCATCTCTTTGTAGGAATGCGGGCAAAGAAAGCTCTAAGGAACGTGTGGGGGGTTCAGTGCTGGATAAGATCCCCTTCCTTCATGGCTGTGAGGACGATGACGAAGACGACAGTGACGAGGAAGATGAATTCCAAGGCATGGCCACCGATTGCATGGATGGCCCGCGCAAGAACAAAAAGTCTCGCGTGAAGGTACGGCAGGCTAAATAAAGAATGACCAAGAAATGTTTTCACAAAAAAATGAATAAATAAACAACAACCTTGCTTTCTGCTGTGTTCTCAGATGGGTTCGGAACCTATGACCACAGATATGGACCCTGAAGACGAAGAGGACGAGGACGACTCGGAAGACGCCCTCAATGAGTTTGACTTCCTGGGCTCAGGGGAGGATGGGGAGGGGGCGGGAGAGGCCCGGATCTCAGGGGATGGACGGGAGTTAGGTACGCTGTTGCCTTAGCAACATCATGAGCACAAGCACTGCCAGGATCACTGCCATAAATGTATCTGTCTTTATTGCCCCTATCCTTGCTCACCTTTTTTTTCCTTTACTTCTCATTGTGTCTTGACATCTCTTCTTGTCAATAAAACCAACCTCTTTTCCCAACCACCTGTCTCTCTGTCCTGTTTCACAAGCTGTCGGTCTGTGACTCCTCAGAGCTGTGTAGCTGTCATCTTTGTCTCTAGATGTACTTTCTGTGGTCCAGGGCCATTTCAGAGGTTACCACGCATGCTGCCTTTTTTTTTTTATGTGTTCACATTTCATATTTAGAATCATATTTGCACTGTAGATGTGCTTTTGTAAATAAAATTGTACAAGTGTATGTTGTCATTACACGTAAAGAATGAAGTTTGCCTTTTAGCTTCTTTCTGCCTTTGTCTCTTATCTGTCCAACTGCTGACCTCCCCGGCCTTCCTCGACCTCTCCGCATGACGGTATTGTGTCTCTCTCCTCTTGCTGGGTTCAGAAAACCGCAGGAACAAGTTACAAGGAATGATGTCAGATTTCCCCCCTAAACCTACCCCGCCCCCTTCTGTATCCGGACAGGCTCGCTCTGGGGAAGGTAAGACTTCCCTACAAAATATGCCAATAGAAACATCAATTGTTCTCTGCCGAGCATTGCCTTTTTAGTCTTCCCCCGTGCAGTTGTAGCTTAGTTGCTGAATCTCAAATTTAGATGTTTGCGTAGGGGTATGCTTGCAAGGTTTCTCCTGCAACTATAAATATTTCCTGTGGTACACAGTGTGGGAGTAGGGAAGTGGAATAAATGACACTGTTCTACAACTATCTAGGACTTATCACGATATTTCAAAGTGATCTCACCATCCTTTTCTAGATCCCTGACATTTGTCAAGATGAAATCATATCTCTTGTGCTTTTCCATTTACAACCTCCAGGTGGTGCCCTGGGTTTCTCCTCTGATGTCTTCATCATGGATGCTGTTGGCGGAGGTGACATGAACCTGGGAGAGCTGGCTGATCTCACTGTTGCCAATGACAATGATCTTTCCATGGATGTAATTGCATATTTTGTTCTGATCAATACAAACTATGCAATACAAGCTACATACGTACAATGAAAACATTTGAATGTTCCCTCTTTTCAAACATGTGTCCCGTCAGTTGCAGGATAACAGAGAAGAGTTTAAAAAGACATGGAACCCCCGATTCACACTACGCAGCCACTTTGACGCCATCCGCGCTTTGACCTTTCACCCGAGCCAAGCAGTGCTGCTCACAGCCTCTGAGGATGGCACACTAAAACTCTGGAACCTCAACAAGGCAATGCACTCTAAAAAGTAAGAACCCTACTGGTGACGATGTTTTTAAATGAAGACGTGTTATTCTCTGCCACACAAATATAAACTCCAGATCTCATTTTAACGGTGTCTCTCCACAGGAATGCGGCTTTGGACGTTGAACCCATCTATACATTTAGAGCACACAGGTGAGTTCAGCCTGAGAACAATAAAAATGCTGCAATTTCTTTTTCTAAAAATGAATGATTAATGCAATCATTTTCCAATTAAATGCTGTGAATACAAAAAAAAAAAAGGGATGAACACGAGGTTTTTGTTTTTTGTTTTCTTGGGGGGAATGGGTGATGTCATTTATACCTGCTTCTCTTTTGGTCTTGCTCTAGTGGAGCTGTTCTTTCACTGACGATGGGTGAAGATGGAGAGTCCTGCTACAGTGGAGGTCTAGATGGATCCATCAGGTGTTGGAAGATGCCAGACCTGAATGTAGATCCCTATGATAACTATGGTGAGTCATTCTTAACTGCTAATTATATAGCAGAATCACAAAGTTTAGTTTTTCTTTTTTTTAAATTATGTGATTCTTTATCCAGATCCTGGTATTGAAAGCAGTGTACTAGCAGGCCACGAGGACAGCGTGTGGGGTCTGACTTACTCTGCAGTTCACCATCGTCTTGCCTCATGCTCAGCAGATGGCACCATTCGTATCTGGGATCCTCAGAACTCATCCCCCTGCATGTCTGTCTTCAATAAGGAGAGAGGTAGACATTTGTCTTGACTTTGTGGGTTTGCTTTGGTGCTTTTTCTATTCAGATCCCACATCCTCATCACGTTCCATTGTTTGTTTGGTTTTTTGTGTGTGTGTGTGTATTTCATTTATTTATTTATTTATTTTTCCTAGAGCACGGAACACCCACCTCAGTGGCGTTTGTAGCCACTGATCCCAACCAGGTGGTGGTGTCATTTGATGGCGGTGAGACCCTCCTGTATGACCTCAACACAGAGCAGAGTGTCACTATGCTAGATACACAGACCAAAGATGGTATGTTCTGGACACAGTCTCCAACATAATGTGCAACACTTTTCTTTTTTTTTTTTGTTGCCACAAATAATAATTTGGTGAAAAATCATTAAATTCTTCTATTAGACTGAATGTGATGTCTTCCTTTGCAGGCAGTGAACTGATCAACCGTGTCGTCAGTCACCCTTCTGAGCCCATCTCCATCACTGCACACGAGAACCGCACCATCCGCTTCCTAGACAACAAGACAGGTATGTGCAGGAGGTGTACTGATGATTACTGAAATGTGTTTTCTCACATGCATCTGAATAAAATTTTTTTGTGCAGGTAAAGTTGTCCACTCGATGGTTGCGCACTTGGATGCGGTCACCTGTCTTACTACAGACCCTAAAGGCACTTACCTCATCTCTGGCAGTGAGTACTCGGCTTTACTGTGTGCTTACTTAGCTAAGTATCCTAGGCTTAATTTTTAAAATGCTCCTCTGTACACCGAGAAACATCTGTTTAATATCACCTGCAATCTGTATACAAGTAGCTTTTTAAATCACAAATTAATTGATAGTAATAGCAAATTTTAAACAGGGGAATTAAATGAGTTTTTTGTTTAGTTCTTTTGAAGAAATAGGAGATTATTTATGGCTTATGAGCAAAAAGTACCTTAAGAAATCCTGTAAAATCTGTAGTAACCGCAAAATATAACATATCACACTGTAGAAGAGGCGTGTGTTAAATCTAGGTTGTAAAAGGATTCCTTTACATTGTTCTCCGCAGTCATCCCTGCCCCTCGTAACACTGCTGTCTTTGCTTCCTCCCACTCCTCACCTCCTACAGGCCACGACTGCTCCGTGCGCTTATGGATGCTGGACAACAGGACGTGCGTGCAGGAGATCACTGCCCACAGGAAGAAGCATGATGAGGCCATTCATGACGTGGCCTTCCACTCTTCCCAGCCCTTCATTGCCAGCGCCGGCGCAGATGCACTTGCCAAAATCTTTGTCTGACATCACTGTCGTCGTTCTGGTGAGATGGAGGGTGCCAGGAAAGAAGCAGTGTGGGGCGAACAGGGAGCGGGTTTTTTAGGAGTTTTTTTGTGAGGAGCCATAAATAGTGAAAAACAGATGGCAATGTCCTCTTGTTATTTACTAACAAGAAAACATCCCTTTATATATTGTTGGATTTTTAAAATCCCTTTAAATACCAAATTGTGCTTCTGTTGTCCCCTTGTTTTTATTGGTGTTTCGAGTAGTTCTGAAAAGCTGCTTTCTTTCCCTCCCTTTCTACTTTTAGAGTCCTACATCAATAACTGGGCCAAAAAAGACTGAAGACTACAGTGGATACATTTCACCTGCTCATACATACACACACACAATTAGTCCTGCACCCCACTGGCTGGGTCATCGCCACAGGACGTCAACCATCAACTTCCTCCCCCTCCGCTCCGAAAACTCCTCACAGTTCTCTAATGCCTCAGTGACTTCTTGTAATACTAATCACATCTTGTAATGCTTTTTTATAACTTTCAAACTCTGGCTGCTCTGTTTTCAAGTAATCATATTTGGAGTAACACTTTTCTACACTACAATATTCTGTTCTTTTTTTTCCTTTCCTTTTCACAAAGTACTATGTGTGTACGCTTGTGCGCTTCAAGTGCTTGCACAATGCTTGCATTTCACTGAGAGCTGAGGGGGAAACACTTGATTTTAAATTGTTTATTTTTTTTAACAGTTGAAACATTGCTTGTGGCTAACACACATATGTAGGCTTGACTTAAAGGAATAACAGTTCTCGGCATTGACGGAAAACACCTGACCTAACCTCTGCATTGGGAATCAATGTGTTGCATTCCAAAGACTCGGTGAGGAGGATGTGTGTGTGGTGTTGGAGGATGTTTGAGTTAGTCGTGTGTGCTGTGAGGAGGCACTAGAAAGCTGAATAGTGTTGATTGAACAACCTAGTTTCATTGTATGTCTGATTGCTATAGCGTCCCCATGATTCTGCCTCTACGTACGTGTGTGTGAGTGTGTGCGTGTGATTAGATGTCACTTAGATAACTCTCACAAACGTATTTCTACAGATATACAGTGTGTATAGAGTCTCTCACACTGCATGAACCAGCTTAGGATGGATATGACTGAGCATAGTTAAAGTCTGTAGACTAGAGAGGTGCGAGGCTGGTCTGGTGCTTTTTACTGTACAGAGGAGTGTATGTGAGTGTGTGTGTATGTTTGTATATGCACTAGTTCAACCACGGTGCTATGAAAGACTTCATCAGTCTTGAGTCAGAATCAGGGACATGTTTTGTGAGTGTTTCTCTCTCACTGGTCCACACGTGTACGTTCAGTAAAATCATCATTCGTGTGACATTTCGCTGTTGGATCATTTCATTAACTGTGGTCAAATTTCAGAATTGACAGTCCATCCTAGTTATGTTTTTCATTAGAGGGATGTGCATATGGTCGGCTTTGAGTGTCTCCGGCTCGAGCAGTGCATCGAGCTGGTAATTATTTTACAGTGGAGGAGCTCGGATGAGAGATTGTCTCTTTGAAGTCGGTGCCAGTTTTTTTGCAGGCTGCTCGCGTCTCATGATTGTTTTTATTTATTCGGGCTTTCACAAAAGCCTGACATCACCTTTACTCAAGTGATGAGGTGAGGATTTCTTCTTCTTGAATGATGAACACAGGGAGCACATTAGCTGCAGAACTAATCTAGTGAAGCGTGTGTCCTCTTCCTGAAGAGGGATGCTGGACGGGTTAAAAAAAATAAACAAATACTCCATTTTAAATTCAGCCATACAAAAAAAGTGTTGATTTAAGACGTCTGACTCAGTTTAGGAGGTAAACTGTCAACTTTTGGCTCAGCTGGAAGCATCGTTATTTTGAGACCCATGTTTGTTGATGTCCTGCATTTGTGCTGTTGACTACAGGACAGTTTGTTTGCTTTAAGTTGCCTCTTCACAGCTGACCTCGTCCCAGATTATTTTTTCATTACCTTTAGAAAACCTCTAAAATCTGCACTCGGTTAGGCGTCAGCTCTTCAAGATTACACACTGTGTGTCACACTGGTGGTCAGATGACAGCTTAACTCTTTACCCCTTGAAAGCCTACTAGAGGTAACCCTTGAAGCGCTTTCCTGACTGAGCGGCCTGCTTATAGAACAAAATGACTGAGTTTGCATCAGAGGTTTATGAGGGTGGTCTCTGCCTATTCAGCTACCCTTGGAAAAACCCAGAACTATTCTAAAGGTCATCAAACCACACCTGCATCCACATGTACTGAGGCGGCAAAGCTTCTTATTAAGAATACAGAGGAGGTCGTCAGATGTTGTCTTTATGGGGGAAAGAGTTAAAGTTGGCTGGAGCTAAACACTTTTAATCACTGGTGACACTAGCATTCATAGTTCATTTATATATATATATGTAGTGAGAGATTTTTTTTTCTCTCCAAACAGAGTGGAAGACTGTTGTGTGAAATTAGACAAGATGTCACACTGCTGTTCCTTTGACACAAGTCTGTCAAAGACAACAACACGGGGCAACTACATTATTATACTGCTGCTGGGCATGACGTCCTATTATCACGTATTAACTATTTGACCCCTTGTTGCACTATATCTAAAAGTGAATGCTTTACATTACAAGAGGATAGACAGGGTGCAGAAACGATGTATTCGATCTGAAGCGAATACTACAAACGTGGAACTGTTGCCGTTCACGGTTATATGACAGCGGGCGTTACTGACACTTTCTTCTCGCTCTGAGCTACTATGTCCCCTGTCTGAGAATAACGACAAATCAGTGTGACACATCAATAAGAGGAAAACAAGAGGAACTCGAAGCAGAGGTTGTAAATGATGGTTAGAGTTGCCATTATGTGCTGTAAATGTCCATCATTTCTTTGTTTTCTTTCATTTTTTTCTCTCTCCTTTGGTTATGAATATGATTATTAAGATGTAAGAATACTGTAGTATCATAAGTGAATCATTCTTCCTTGCTAGGCATAGAACTTGCTTGTGATTGATAATGGCAATGTAAAACTTGTAAAAAAGCAAAACGATTAAAAAACACGAAAAACAGACGAAAAGAAGATTAAAAAAAAACCAAAATCTGTTACCAGTCGGAGGCCAAGGTAAAGAACTCTCATTTCTTTGTGTTTTTTATTTTTTTATTAGCAATTTATCACTGTGTGATATTTTGTACATCATATTAAGCTGTATTCAAACAATTTCCTCCAACTACAAGGGATAAGAGACCTGCTTTTTATTAATTTTGTTTTATTATATATTTTTGAACTGCATTTTAGCTTGTATCAAATGACTTTTCTCTTTTTGTTTACGGGTCCCCTGTTGTATGTCATTAAGGAAGAAAAGACAAAAAAATGAAAATTTTGTACAGTGAATTGAGAGTTGAGTTTTTTCTTGTCTGTCTGTCTTTCTTTCTACTAAAGGATGCCGTACTTGGAAATACATGAAGATACATGAAGGTGTGATCACTTACACTGTAATCCTTACTTATGATGATCCAGTATAGAAGTAGGGTGATGAATTACTAGGAATTTATTTTCCAGCTTTCACACAGTAAAGTTAAAGATTGGTCTGAAGATTTACATCAGAGACTTTCCTGACTTTCAGGCCTTATGTATACAAACTCCACATGTCCTATAACATGGCTTGATGTCGTCTTTCATGGACTCTCCGTGTCTGGTAAATTTCATGACAGTCTTTTGATGTCAAACATTGTTCATACAGTGTAACCTCATAATGACTTAACTATTCTTGAAACTAGTGTATAAAAGAAGTTAGGTTTTAGTCGTCAAATCTTGCAGTTACAAATGCACTAATTTTCACTGAGTGAGTGTGTTCATTATTACATGTTCAACTGCATAGTAACACAAATAGCTAAGCAGCCAATCACGTGGCAGCAATTTACAGCATTTAGGTATAAAAACATGGTGAAGATGGCCTCGTGTCAGCAGAAGGGGGGAATAAAAGGGCTTTAAGTGACTTTGAACAGCAGATCACTGATCTGCTGGGACTTTCCAACATAACCACACAACAGGATATACACACTCACCACTTCATTAGATGCACCTCGCTAGCGCTGGGTTGGACCCCAGAACGGCCTTAATTCATCATGACACAGATTCAACAAGGTGCTGGAAATATTCCCCAGATATTTTGGTTCATATTGACATGATAGCAAAACACAGTTGCTGCACATCCATGACGTGGCTAGCAACAATACTCAGCTAGACTGTGGTGTTTAAAAGAATAATCATTTGATACTAAGGGGCCCAAGGTGTGCCAAGAAAATGTCCTCCACACAAGGCAGGATGGACCCAAGCTTTCATATTGTTCTCACTAAATCCTGACCCTACTATTTGAATGTTCTTTTGTCCAGTTTTAGTGAACCCCTGCACGTTGTAGGCTCAGTTGTCAGCTGACAGCAGCGATACCCAGTGTGCTGCTCTGCTGCTGTAGCCCATCTTCTTCAAGTTATGATCGCGTTTAGCATTCAGAGATGCTCTTCTGGTTGTAACAAGTGATTATTTGTGTCACTGCCTTCCTATCAGCTTGAAGCAGCCTGGCCATTGTCCTTTGACCTCTGGCAAAAGCTTTTTAACATAGGGAACTGCCACTCTCTGGATATTTTCTCTTTTTCTCTTTGGACCATTATCTGTAAACCATAGAGATGGTTGTGTGGAAAAATCCCAGCAATGATGCCACTTCAAAGTCACTTAAATCGATTTTCTTCCCCAATCCGATGCTTAGATTGAACTTGTCTTGATGTTAACCATAACCCTAAGTGTACTGAGTTGTTGTCTTGTGATTTTGCTGGTTATTTGCTTAAAAGTATTTGAGCAGGTGTGTATGTATGTAATGAAGTGGATGGTGTGTATAAAATAAATAGTAAGTATTTATTGTTTGGCTAACATGCAAACATGCAAACATGCACATATGTATTTAACGCATACTCATTGTGGGCTATAGCATGTTCTGGTACATGGTGGTTTAGTTTCATGCCTTCATTCAGTGGTTCTAAAACTTGTTCTCGCAGTTCACACTTCCTGTCCCATATGTTTAAAATAATCCTTTTAGAAAGTGAAAAAAAAGAGGATTTAAACAACATCACAGTTCCCCCTCATCAGAGAGGAGGTGGCAACTCACTGGGGAGCAATTGCCTTTTAAGGAACATCCTTTAACATCATCAAACACCTGATTATCAATTTCCCCCCATGTCCCCATGTCATTTATAACCTAAGATGTAACCTGCAGCTTAACTAATGCTTGGGAATCAAACATTTTATATCCAAATCACACAGGGTCTGTAAGATCCGATTTTATCCAACACTGCCCCCTTGTGGTGGCAAAGCGAATCAATTCAAGCGTTTTGTTTTCTATCTTGTTTCATTCAAGTCTAACTCGCCTTATTTAATTTGTATGAAATGAACATCGGGAGATGCCTTCACAGATATAAGCGCGACAGTGGCACTGAGATAAACTGCACACACTGTTTTTTTGCATAACCAATCAGAGCGGTTTATTAGAACTTCAACTAGGAAACCACAAATTTCACAAGCATTCTTACTGTGTTATATGGTTAGATTACCAGTGAGGAGTCACAGTCACGCTGATGACTTCATTAACCAAACGTTTTTTTTTCCTTTTAATCTACTGCATACAGAGTGTCATTGTCCAAACCCACCCAAGTCACCACTCTCAGTCCATGAAACTTCTCAATTTTCATGAAACCTGGAGCATGGAAAGAACCTTCCATAGGTGCGGTCCTTTTTCTGCAGTTTATGAGAGGCGTGTCTCCCCCCCCCAAAAAAAAACAAAATACAGAGGAAAAATAAGGCAATTTTAGGAGAGACAGAAGGTGGCTTGTGAACTTAAAGGAAGGACGAGGAAGCGGTGGGAGGGGTTTTATGCGTGAAGCAGCGCCCTGGGCCATGTATCTATGCTGTCTCCGGCTACAGGAGGGACCAAACAAGACAAATGTCCCTAAACTAAGGAAGGGAGCCAGAAGAGGAAAGGGAGGAGGGGGAGGTTTGGGAGTCAGGACTTTCTGAATGCCTATTGGCTTCAAGATGTGTCCGTCATTTCACTTCCTCCTTGTTTAGCGTAAGATGCGAAGGCAGGAGGGAGGGTAGAGGGAGGTACCCTCAGACAGCGCTTTTCGCTCTCTTCTTTTTCACAAAAAAGACCGAACAGGGGTTGAAACTGAAACAGGGCAAGGTCTCGTAAAAAGGAGTGCGGTCTCTAGCTCCCCTTCATTCTCACCGTTTCCTGTTTAAAGGAGGCCATTTTGTAAGTGAGCCTGGAGAAGAGCACAACAAAGTTTGGGCATTGTTGTTGTTTTCTTTCTCTCTCTCTCTGCCCGCGGCGGAGAGTTTCACAACCAAGTTTGGACTTTCTCCTCTGCAGAGCAGCGCCTTTTGGATGCGAGAAGTGAAGGAGGGGTGGAGGAGAGAAGGCTGGAGGTGTCGTGTTCTCAGACTCTTTACTTTGTGAGTGTTTCTCTCTCACACACACACACAGGCACACACCGCTCACGCCTGCCATGCCTGAACAATAAGCGAAGCCTGGAGAAAAGAAGTGCTCCTTCCTGGATAAAGATTTTCTTCCTTGAGCTGCTGGAAGGAAGCGGGTTTGACGCGGGACTCGGAGGAAAGCGGAGCCGTCCACTCAGCGTGCGTGCGTGTGCGTGCGTGTGTGTATCCATGTTTCAGCGTGTGTAGCCCTCCGCTTGAATGAGTGTTGCTTTTCCGAAAACTTCAGACTGCACCTGCGTGTTTGTGAGAGCCAGCGAACTCTGAATGGCTAATGCTAGCCCTTGTATGCCCTCGGGGGCGGCGATGGCTCAGGTCTTCTTCCCCCCAGGTGGCACCTTACCATCAAGCTCAGCTTTGATCCAGCAGGGGACCCCCATCGCCATACACTCTTTGCCCACACCGGGTGGCTTTCCTGTGATGGAGCTGACTCCAGGGCATGGTGGTGGTGCTGGGGCTGTGATGCCCGTGATGCCCCAAACTCCAGCAGGGGTGTCCTTCATCATCCAGATTGGTCTGACCAGAGAATCTGTCCTCATGCCCCAGGCTGCTGACCTGGCCTATGTGAAACAAATGGCCTGCTCCATTGTTGACACCAAGGTAAGAAGCGGGTGGGTGTTTGTGTTTTCTCCAGATGGAAACCGTTTTAGGTGCAAGCCCTTCGTGGCATGTGTAGTTTTCATACCTGTCAGGTGAACAGTTTTTGTTACACCTTTCACTTTCAGCCTGTGTGTGTGCTGATCTTGCAACAAACTCTTTGCGCGCACTCCATTGTTATCAAAGCGTAATGAAAGTGGCAGAAGTTTCTAGAATAAACAGGTCCGAGGACAGCGATTAGCATTTTTTCCCTGTTTCCCTTTCCCTGTTTTCCCTGTTTAGTCTTCCCTTGTTCAGCGTGTATGCGAATACAAAGAGGTTGATATTTGTCACTTTTATCAATTAGTTTCTTTCCCATTGCGTAAAAAGGCTGATTTAGTGCAGGTTAGTGGCATCTACATTTATACATATATAATTAGACGAGCTTCGCCCATTTACTGTGACCTAGGGTTGTAATGGTCAACGTTGCTTTCACTTCTCCTTGGCGCAGCATCGGAAGTTTTGCATGTCATGGCATACGAACACATTTGGCCAATTTTAGTTCTGTGCCGTACGCTTCAGTGATCTTTTTTATCTTCTGCTGTCAGTGATCATCAACACTTGTTTTTGTCTTACTTTGCACGCACTGTTTTCACCTTAATGACCTTAATGTGTTTTTTTTAAAGCACATCTTTTAAAGGACTTGTAGCCTTCTCAGGTTTTACATGTTCGGTAGGAAAATTGTAGATTTCTTGCACAAAACCCCCAAAACACCCTTTTAACTGAAAGAGAAAACCTCAAAAAACACACGTGCAGAGAAATTACTTTTTTTGGGGGGGAGGGCAGTGACATCCTCTTTATAACAGGAAGCAACAAGTGTTATGGGAGACATTACATCTTTTTAAAAAAAAAATTGAGAACTGTGCTGAATTGTGCTGATTTATTCAACCGTATAGTGTAGTTCCAGAGAACGGTTTTCATTTTAGTGTGTATCCACACGCATACAGGAAATAACATTATCCATTCACTTAAGGTGGCAGTTTGAGCAGTTTATGTGTTTTTTATTTGCCAGCTAGGCTGTTGGGTGATTAGCAGATTTCCACAGCCTGCTCAGAGCCGTTCTGTAAAACTCTCCATTACTGAAAATGTTCCAGGAAGCAGTGGTAACTCTCTCCAGCCAGTTTACCCTCTTTGCTAATCTGTTCCTGTGCACAACAGTCTTTGTTCTCCCTGGTCATATGAGTGGCTCACCGCCATGCTCTTGGTATAAT